TTGTCTAACATCTTGGGGGCGTTTTTTAATAAAACAATTATTCCACTCGCGCTTGTTGGATATTAGATGATTATAGCTGACTCGGCGCTAGGCGCCTCGTTGGCTATCTATCATCTCATATCCAACGCGGGCTCGTGGAATAATTGTTAAATAATAAGGGGGGCTCATTAAAATATTACAGAACCTTAAAGGGGGGTCAGGTCAATTTTATGGTGACACAATATAATATCCTCCAGCCTCCCTCCCCACCCCCCAGCCCTACGAGATTGTGCTTAAATAATTTTTGGCATAATTTAACACAACTTACACTTTTTATAACGTTAGTACTGCTAGCATAATCAGCATATTTTTATTTTTTATTTATTTTTTTTTTAGGGAAAATTTCTAGATTCACGACTTGCTCGTTCTCCAAGACTGATCATTTTCAAGTTTTGTACATGCTTCAGTCTATTTTCAATTTTGCAATGTCGAAGGGGAAGAAGGGAACCCGGAGGTAAAGATTAAGTTGGCACTAGTTCTTACTTTTACAGGCAACAAAATGGCGTGGAGGAACTTACAGCTACATGGGGGAGAACAAGCATTTAATAGACTAGAATCCGCTCACACTGAGATTGGAGCTTGCAGTAAACTCAATGCAAATACAACAACACCATCTGGCGAGAAGAAAGTCCCACGACATGTTTGCATGATCTCATAAATTTTATCAATTTTCCATTCTTTCTCGTCAGATTTCTTTTCAGAAAAATTCGGCACAGTTTTTTAAAACGAGTACAACTTGAGCATAGTTTGAAAACCTTCGAGCACATAATATGCAACATCTACACGCCACCCGGCCCCCACCCCGCGCCCATCCAACTCTTCTTCATCAGGAAGGGAATACTTTTTCGCGCGCCAGAGCTCAGATATCATGTGATCGTCCATGTGACCAGCAAGAAACCAATGAGAATTTAGAAAGCTAAGATCTTTTCGCGCAACGGACTGTTAGAGCCGCAGTGTTGCCTTTGTAGACAAATCCAGTGAAAGGAAAGAGTGTCTTTTTGTGGTAAGTTGTAGCAATTCCATCCTATCAGTTCCTTATCGCTTTGTTTTAGCCTTGCAGTTAGTTTACGGTCACCTCATTCGATGTTTAGATCGTTTGATCCTCTTTCGGGGGCCTCGAGTGAAAAAACCTCATTTCGATGTCAGTGCACGGAATAGGTTCACCTTGTTCGGAAAAAAGTCCCTCGTAGGTTGGAAAAGATCCAGGTCGGAAGCCTCCCTTTTAATGTATACGTATTCACCCGTTCCATGTTTCGAATGTTATGCATGTGCAGATTTTGTTAGAAACGTAGGCACAGTGGACAAAATTCTGGCAATGAAACCAAAATCGATGTGGAATCCATTAAGAATCTGCGATCAAGAGTTCCTCAACTGCAATCTACTTTCGATCGAACACACGATTCGCTACTCTCTACTTCCATTCACTTGTAGGTGTCAAATGTACGTATTTCACAAAGTGTTAAAGGACTGGGGGAATGAGTTCGTTATATCGCGGTTTGGTTAATAATTGTTGTTAAACTAATTTCACAATGGCATGCACCATCGCGTGATTTAAATGGAAACTTTTTGTCACAGAAATATCTCAATAGCTGTGATCTGCAAACCATGGAAGCTTTGAGAAATTTTTTTCATTATCTAAAAAGAGGGCAGTTTACTATTTGAATCAGGGACTTAATCCAAAAAGAGCTGCTAAATTTGCGAAGCAAGCGAGCTGCCCTGAATAATGAAACGAAGGAACACCGTGGATGGACGGAATTGCCGAATATCTTAAGATGCAGAATGACGGAATATCCTAAAATGCGGAACACCTTTTTATATGAAACCCAAGTCTCAAACAAAGGAATTGCAGTAAAACAGGAAAATATGTATAATTAACAGGCGTAATTAAAAGAAGCATCATTAGATGATCATTGTTGGCGCATGAGAAGACACACAGGGCTTGCACTGAAAGTATCACGGAGAGCTTCATACAATTCCTTATAATCTTATTTTAAGGCGGATGGCAGGTGTTGTCACGTATGATCCTTGTAAGGGTCATACGTGACAACACCTGCCGCGCCTTGACTAATGCTAAAAAAGTGCCATACAATTCCTTGTAATTTTTATTATAAGGAATTGTAGGGAGCTCTCTGAGATACTTACAGTGCAAACCCTGTGTGTCTTCTCATGTCAGTGGATTGGGGAACCATGAGACTTGCGAGCAAGACCCTTCAAATTATTATTATTATATTATTATTGTTATTAGTGAGATACAATGAAATATATAAGTTCATATATTTTGTACTGCGGTATTAGATACATATGATGCACGATCCTAGCAGTAGATAGCGCTATTTAAGCAATAGTGAAAATCAGACCTGAAAAAAATCAGGCCTTTATGGGATTCGAACCACTGACCTCTGCGATACTAGTGCAGCGCTCTACCAATTGAGCTAACAAGCCAACTGGGAGCAGGCCGTTAAGTTGATTCATAATAAACCCGTGAAAGTGATAAATGAGATACATTTATCATCGCTATCTACTGCAAGGATCGTGCATCATATGTATCTAATATCGCAGTACAAAATATATGAACTTCATACATTTCATTGTATCTCATTTATCACTTTCACGGGTTTATTACRAATCAACTTAATGGCCTGCTCCCAGTTGGCTTGTTAGCTCAATTGGTAGAGCGCTGCACTAGTATCGCAGAGGTCAGTGGTTCGAATCCCTTACAGGCCTGATTTTTTCCGGTCTGATTTTCGCTATTGCTTAAATAGCGCTAATTACTGCGAGGATCGTGCATCATATGTATTGTTATTATTGTTGTTATTTGTCACCATTGAGTTATCGGTTGAATATCAATTAGACAATATATCATCTTTCTCTGGTGGAACAGACACTCATTAAATATGCAGGGGTTTTCTGTTCTGCATGTGAGACAAATATTCTGCAACACTTCCTTCTAAAATTAGTATACAACCTCCAGTTCTTTTTTATGCTATAAAATTATTGTGCTTTACCAGTAGCCACACGCAGTCTTTGACTGTCTATTTTTCCTCATATGAAATGAATTTTGTGAAACATTCAATGATATAGTCTGCTTGAAGTTCTATGTGTATAGCTATGATAACTACAACATTTAATTTGGAACTTGTTAATTGTCTTTCTTTCCATCTTTTACTTTTTTTGCTTCTTGCTTGATAATGTCTTTGTGTGTAGACCTAAGCCTGGGGTCCTATGCAATCTGGAAACTTGGAACTAATTTTTAAGAATCAATTTTTTTCAGATTATTTACGCTCTGGAAAGAGATAGCAAGAAATTCTACAATTACGATGGCTAATGGTAAGTAAATACAGATAAAAATAAAAGATATTCAGACTTTTTGGATAGTGAAATTTCCAAGTGTTGCCTTTTTATCAAGTTATTGTACAAGCAGTAGAAGAATGAGTCATGAAAGTAGTTTTTGAAAGTGAGTAGTTGTTATTATTGGTTTTTGGTTTTCATGTTGTAACTTGCCAATTATATTAAGATGCCTAGGCACCATTTCATTCCTCTGAAGCTCAAGCACAAAATCCTGCCCAGAGTATTTTTTTTCTCGTTCCATGATTTAAGCTTGTATAATGGAAACTGTGAGTTCTGAGCTCTACTTAGAACAGGAATGATTGTTTTCACCTTGTTTTCACCTTGTTTTCAAACCTGTGTCTCTGTCACTGGTTTTTAGACAAACCCTGTTCGGGGTTCTCAGTGAGCTAATCTTTTCAACTCGGGGAGTTATGGAATGGTAAGAGAGAAAAAGAGAAAGACAGGAGATACTAGCATTTGTTCCCCTGAGAATTTGACCCAAGGATTGTTAATTATATCAACTCTCCCTTTTTTAATCTGTTGGTTACCAACTGGGGACTTAAAATTGAAATTTTAGTTGTCAAATGTTTTTTCACTCACCATGGTGACCAAAATGGTCTTTGCGCACTACTGTTGTAGTAGTTTCAGTTCATTTACATGGCTACATAGTATTTTTCCAGTAATTCTTTGATTACTTTTTTCTGAATTTTATACAAAAGGTTTGAAAGAAATGGTGGTTGAATTACTCTCCATAAAAGACGGAGCCTTTGAAGAAATAAGGGCTTTATGGATAGAATCTGTAGATACCACTGGAGTAGAAACAGTGGGGGAGCTTTTTGAAAAATTTGAAAAGGAGAAAGGCCGCATGTTGTCCGCAGAGGATGTTAAAGAACTTTTATGGAATTTGTCATATGTTGACATTAAGGAAAAGGTGTTTGCCGATGATGCCCCTTGGAGGCCACAGAACAGTTCCAGCAGGATATGTAAGTTTTGAAATTGTTTGATAGAGTGAATAAAGATAATGGGTACAGGTAATTGCTAAGTACACCCCTTCACTGACTGGACTCGGGGTTCTTGTCAAGAGCTGCTAACCAGTTATTTTTTATTTTACCAGCTGTTCAAGTAAATGTTACTGGCTATTTCTCAAAGTTGTCTCATAATGTTTCCAATCTTTTAGAAAAAGATTGCATTAAGATATTATGTTAAGATATCTATCAGATGTTCCCAGTTTGAAAATATGCCATATGTTGAAGAAATCCTACTTGTTTTGACCAATGACCTGCCATGTTTCCTTTCCATTCTTCTCATGGCCAAATGAAAAGGCCCCACATTCATTAAAAAAAGTCATGGGTGACAACATGGCATCTGCACCCCCTTCCCCCTTCCCCCTTCCCTCTTTCCCCTTCCCCCTCCCCCTTGCATGTCTGCTGGTCTGTACTGTTTATTGGCTTGTTTCGAATTGTTGATACAAGAAAGTCTGGTAACTAATTATAAGCACCAAGTTGAGGCTGAGGAGAAGATGCACTTATTTTGAAAGCAGATTGGAGTGATCATAGGTGGAATGTGAAGTTGTGTGCCATCCTGGTGTGTAATGCAGTGTCACGCAATATCAAAACAAAGTTAATGGAGCTAAAGCATTGAAAGAAAACGAATCTGTGTCCCAAGAGCAAGAGTAAGGCATGCAGGGGCCACTAGTCTGTTTCTTGTCAAACAGACATTGACCACAAACAAATGGACGAGATGATAAAAAATGTGTTGGATAACAAAACCATCCTAAACAAACTCAATCACAAGCCAGCATTGAAACAGTACTTTTCATGGATGACGCAAGGCTGTGGTCTCGCAGCACCCACTGGCCCATGGTGCCTTACTTTTGCTCTTGGGCAACTCAGTAATCTTAGTTTTTTCATGAAAAGCATATGCTGGGCACCTTGGATTAAATAGTTTCAGAGCTCTGGGGCCCCTTCAACTTTTCTCAGAGCACAGCCTTGATGATGTGCTGAAAAGGGATGAATTTGTGAAATTCTACACAGGATTTCAACTTTGGCCTGTCTAATGGCTGTTTATCTGTCTCGTCATCATGGTGGTACTTCATATCCTCCACATGACCATCTACAAATAAGCAAAAACCCTCAAGACTTTTGCACAAACAGTCTTCGTCGTAGCCATCTTTTCCAATCAGATAGTGGTAAATATCAGTAAAACCAAAATGAATGCAGAAGTAATTTTCCTCCGGGCAATGTTAACTTGGAATCAATTAATTTGTCGCCTTTCAGTGATTCTCCTTCAATATTGGAACTTTTATTTCAGCTGTATTCCAAGAGAGTTCCAGTTGTCCTGCCCTTCTCCTAGTCTTGCCACTAATAGAAATTTGAATATCTCTTCCCTTTAAAAACTTTTAAAGTTCAGATACTTTCATACTAGGGAAGGGGCCTTACATTCACTGGAATATTGAGACAACTATTATTCCCCTCAGCCTCAACTTGGTGCTAAAAACTAGTTACCAGATTTTCTTGCACAAACAATTTGAAACTAGCCTATTGACTAGCCCATTCATGAATATATGGCCAATTGCCAGGCCCCCAACAGAGGAGCAGAATGCAAAGCAACATGGCATGCTTGCTATGCAAGCATAACTCTATTCAGTCACACACTCAATTCAGCTTATACACGTATTACAGTTTCTAATAACAATCATGCCAGTGTGGTGCGAAAATTTCAAAAAGTGATACCGGTAGTTTTTATGGGTTACTGTAATTTCCGGCCATTTACCTGCACGGCCGATTGCCTGCACCAGCTGATTATTGCATGCAGCGAAAAAAAAAGTGAACAGATTACCCGCACTGCTGGATAATTGTCACATAACCCGCACCTCCCTATTACCCACAGTGGTGTGTGTTTAAGGCAAAATCAACAGATTACCCGCCGGTAAACGGCCGGAAATTAAGGTAACAGTAATTTTCTTTGTTGCGACAGGGATATCTACTTCCCTGGGGAGTGCTCCTGATGGTGCTCCAACAACTGGGGGCCCAGGAGCTTTGATGGTCACAGGGCAAACAGCAGTTACTGTTTCAAACTTGGTTACCTCATCTCATGATTTTGCCAGACAGCAGGTACTTAGGTGTTGTGTCAGTAGATAAATGTTGCAAGGAAATTTCATGCAGAGGTTGGCACTAACAATGAATTGTTTTCATTCATCAGTTTACTTATTTGCTAGGTAGACCCTCATCTATGTATATCTTGAATTGTTTATAATTTACTGAAGAAATTAAGGACTGGCAGGTGTAAAAGCTAATTTCACAATACAGGATTAGAAATTAGAAGAGTAGAAATGGACCAAAACATCATGTGTTTCAAATGAAAATTAGCAAACAAAGAAGCCTTGACTTTGCTATGTTTTGTTGAAAAGTGTGTAGAAAGCAGCTAGAGCACAATTTAAGGAGTGTAGGGGGACACATGGGATGTAGTCAGGCATTCTTCCCTACTTCTTGAAATATCCTCATATAGGTAAAATATCGATTAAAAATTAGCTTGCAAATCACTTACACTAAATTGAATTTAAAATATGAGGCTGTCTTGAGTATTAGGGGGGCACACTGTTTAGTAGGGATGTAAATGTCGGGTAAATGGTTCTTTAGGGGGGTGTTACTTTGATTGATTTAAGATTTCTGTGTGTGGTAAACTTACAGTCACTCTGAAGAGTTACACGTGACTTCTTATTCTCTTTGGAACATCAAAAACCATTCAACCAGGCTTACAGAAGGATCACCTTTGTTTCTTTTGGGAGAGAGTGTAGTAGAGTCGTCTGGGCTAGAGTACCAATTTATGAAAGATGTCTGAGTCATTCAAAACAATTTTTAAAAGATATGAACTGCTTGCATTTCCTTGCATGGTTTCCTTATTAACAGCCCAACAATCACATTTGTAGTTGTTACAGGAAATGCACTCTTGTCTAGCATGCTGATGCAAGAAGCTGTC